GCCAGCCCACCTCGCCTCATAATAAAACCATTTTCCTCAGTGATTATGTTTCTGACAGCGTTTCAGTAAGGAAATATGACTCACGTTAGCAGTTGTTGCCTGATAAATGCCTTTCAAAATCGACGTACATGGCTTTTAACAGTCCTTTCGCCACGCCGCGAGGAACGTTCCTTTTTAGTGTGTCACAAAAGAGACGATGCTTGTGTTCCCTCGGTTGGCTTCTCTGCCGCAGCTCATTCCTAGACCCGTTCCTGGGGGCACCTGCAGGATGGTGCCCGGCAGCAGGGCGGGAGCCTGCTGTCCCTCGCTGGAGTTTACGTTCCTGTTAAATATGAATTCCAATCCCGTTTCCTACAAACAATGCCGAAGCAGAAGCTACTGGCACTGGAGCAGAGCCACTCACAGCTGATGAGGAATATGCATGCCCCTGAAATATCAGGTCAGGTTTTAAAAATATATAAAAGCCAGTTATTCTAACTGTTGGAGTTGGCAAGGAAATATATTCATGCAATAATAGATTTTCTTTACATTCTCTTAATTGTAAGAGAATGTTTTCGTGCCGTAAGAGCTGGGGGCGTAAGAGGACAGCGAGCCCTCAAATGAGAAAGAGTGATTTCCACAGCCTGGTCAGGGTCACAACCAGGAAAACCTGGAACTTCACCCAATTTATTTTCTTATTTTAAAAAGTAAGTTTGGGACCAAAATTAACCTATGTACTTGATCACTGCCCACCCCCCTCCCGCCTGGCCAGGCTCTGAGGCCGTGGGTCCGGGACCTGCTGGGAGCGCGGCGCCGGCCTCCGGGGTGCCCGTGCGGCGCTGGTGCCCGTGCGGCGCTGGCCCAGCGGCTGTGCGTTAGGCTCCGCACAGCATTTACTCTGAGGACCTCCCGTCCCACGGGCATGGCCCTCAGGCTCATGTGCTTGTGGTTTACATGATGTCATCAGCTATCTTGCAAACCGAATTTTCCTCTGTAGAGATCTTCTCACTGTTTGGAAGTGGGCTCTTCTGAAACGCTGGTGGGGAATAGCCGCGGCCACGGCTGACTGAGCACCTGTCACGTGCTGAGCGCCCTGTGCGCCGCCTCATTCCTCCAGAACGATCCTCTGAGGGGGCCAGGGGCGTTCCCATCCGCGCCTGTGGCAGAAAGGAGGCACCCGACCCCGTGCCCGGGTCCCAGTCTGAGCAGAAGCAGAGCCCGGCTTCAGACCCAGCAAGGTGAGGCCAACTTCCTGCTCCGAGAACAGTGGTTCTCCAGCTTCAGTGTCACAGGACCCCCTGAGGATGCTGTTCAAGTGCCCCCCGTTCCAGCAGGTGCCGGCGGGACTGGAGATCGGGCATTCCCAATGAGCGCCCAGGGGCGCTGACGCTGGTGGCCCTTCCAGAGTACACTGAGTAACCAGATCAAAGCCACTGCTTCTCAGACTTCAGCGCCTTCAGAGTAACCGGAGGGCTTGTGCAAACACGAATTGCTGAGCCCCATGCCCGCGTATTTCTGATTCAACAGATCTGGAGTGGAATGTGCTAATTTGCATTCTGAACAGTTCCCAGAGGATGTTGGTGCTGCTGGCCTGGGTACCTCACTTGGGGTCCCACTGTCATAGCATGTGGACACAATAGCCCCAGGTGATTGCTGTAATCAGGTGAATTTCCTCGCAATACTATTGTAGAACATACATGCAGCCTGTTCCTGTGCAGCATTCTATAGTACAGCTGTGGCATAATAGGTTATAGGTTATATATTAGTGAGAGTGTTTATATAATAGTATAATAGGTTATACTTTATTACCAAAGACCATGATACTTCATATTATACAAAACTTATACTGCTATAGAGAACCCTATATAATTTTAAACGATTTCTGTTCGATGACTTTTGCTGGGAATTTGAACTTGTGCAAGCTTCCCAGAGCAGGGCCTGATCTGCCAGTTGGCATGCTTTTATTATTTTATTTTACTTTGGTATTTGTTTCTCAAAAAGCTGACTGTAGAGAAAACATCTACTTAACTCTGCTATCTGCTGAATTTCACTCTGGTAGCTGCCACGAGGCCTGCGAGCTCTGTGTGTTTGCCACGTTGTCCAAGCTAGAAATCCTAACAGAACCCAAGTCCGAAAACCGTCTGCTAGCCTCCACTGAGGCAAGAAGTCGTGAGAGGCTCACCTGAATACCATGGCCGCTCACCTCTCCACTCAGGGTAGCTGCCGGTTTGAGAGCGTCCTGTCCTCCTCCGCACACCCAGCTCTGCGCTACCGCTGCTTCTCCTGGAATGCACCTCCCTTTAGGCTGCAGCAGGGCCGCAGGAGAAGGGGACAGATTGAATGTTCCTTCCAGAAGTAATTTAGATGTCTATTCACTATGCAAAGAAAACTGGGAAGAAAGCCCCCGTCCACATCCATGAGACAAGACTTATTTGTATTGACTAGAAGTTGGACACTTTGGAATGCACTGTGCACTCCTGACTTTCAGTAAATGCTCTTCGACCTTGAACAACATGGGCTTGAACTGTGCGGGTCCACTTAAAGGTGGAGTTTTTCAATAAATATAGTATGTTCCCTTCCTTATGATTTTCTTACTAGCACTTTCCTTTGCCTAGCTGTTGTAGTAATATATAGAAATGTTTAAAAATGCCTAAAAAATATTAAGGTTTAAAAATGTTTAAATTAACTTTCCTTGAAACTTAAAGCGTGACATTGAGAACACATTCTCCACTGCCCTGAAGCGTGTGTACCTCATAGATAAGGATTTGAACTTCAGTAAATAACTCAGAGTGACTTGTCAAAGTAACCAGTTGAGTCCCTCTCCCTCGATAACCACATGTAGTCCCTCGCCCTGTCTGAGATAAACCTGTGCATTCATGTAATTCTTTGATAGCCACCTGGGCGGCTGCAAACGGGGTACAGGCTTTAAAAGTGGGATTCAAACCAGCCCAGTGCTCACCTGTCGAGCCAGCCACAAAGGCACGTCCTCCTGTCAGTCTGGTATGTGACACCGCTCCACACTCCTCTCTCTGCCGGATAACAGAAGAATGGCCAGTACCTCCCGACTGAGACGGCCGAGCTCTGGGGTGCGGAGTGCTGGGCCCCTGCGTCCGGACCAGCCCAGCCCGGCTGCCAGACCCCAGAGGACAGCACCACCAGGATCCCGTTTAAGCCTGTACCCTCAGCAGCTGGAA